TCACCTTATCTCTTTGGCCACCCCCTCTCTCTGCCCCACCCTCTTTATATCTGGCCACACCCCCTCTCTGGTCTCACCTTATCTCTTTGGCCACCCCCTCTCTCTGCCCCACCCTCTTTATATCTGGCCACACCCCCTCTCTGGTCTCACCTTATCTCTTTGGCCACCCCCTCTCTCTGCCCTCCTCTAACTCTCCCTCTCTCTCTCTCTGCCCTCTCCACCCTCTTTCTAACTGGCCACACCCTGTGCCTTTAGCCATATGTGGTCTCTTTAGCCCCACCTCTTCTCTCTTTGACCCCACCCCCTCTCTCTGCCCCACCCTCTTTTTATCTGGCCACACCCCCTCTCTGGTCCCACCTCATCTCTCTTTGGCCACCCCCTCTCTCTGCCCCACCCTCTTTATATCTGGCCACACCCCCTCTCTGGTCTCACCTTATCTCTCTTTGGCCACCCCCTCTCTCTGCCCCACCCTCTTTATATCTGGCCACACCCCCTCTCTGGTCTCACCTTATCTCTTTGGCCACCCCCTCTCTCTGCCCCACTCCCTCTCTCATTGTCTTCTCCCTCACCCCAGCATCTCTCTCTTCCCCCCCCCCCGACCCCTACTCTCATTTGTGGGCAGTCCAGGTTCACCTTCCATACCTGCGTAGTGCAGGTGCACCTGGACGATTCTCAGACATTCAGCCCGTTCTTGTGGAAGATGATGTCAGAGGCGCATGTCACTGGTTTCACAGGCGGCCCCTTTAGAGCCAGTTTGTACCTCGTGAACGATACCTCCCGTGTAAATAAATACGACAAAAACGGCTGAGACGGGAGCAGTCGAAATCCCCGCGTCAGCACTGCGTCCGTCTTCCTGATCTGCATCAGTGCTGTGGATACAAAGCAGAAAGTAGCTCAGGGCATCATCGTTTGCCAGTAGCCCCCCCACCCCACTCCGATCACGTGACGGAGGCTTTTACAGGGGTGTCTGCTTTCTATTTGTCACTCATGCGCAGCCCGCCCAGGAGGACAGGAGGGACGCCAGCCCACACAAGGGGGAGGAGGAAGAGCAGGAGGGAGGCAGAGAAGGCGAGAGAAAAGGGCTGGAGCCAAGCAGGAGAGAGCAGGAGCCGGCCGGGCAGGAGCCCGAGGTCCAAGAAGAAGTGAAGGCCCCAGGAGAGACCGAGGCCCCCGAAGGGCCCAGGGCCCCCAGAGCCCCTCGGCAGCCCCGCAGCATGCACTGCCGAGTCACCCTGCTGGACGACACTCTGTATGAGTGCGACCTGGACGTAAGGAGCCGCAGCGCAGGGCTGCACGGACCGCCCAGGCCGCCCGGTGAGGTCCGGTGTTTCTGCGCGTTCTGCCCCCCCAAATGAGCGCTTCCCTTCTTTGCAGAAACATGCCAAAGGCCAGGAGCTGTTGACCAAGGTGTGCGAGCACCTCAACCTGCTGGAGAGGGACTACTTTGGCCTGGCCACCTGGGAGACAGCCACCCTGAAGGTGCGTGGAGCCTGGACACTGCCAGGGCTGGCCGGCTTTAAGAAGTCACCATCGCTCCGTCTTGGGCTGATCTGGTGACTGTGGGTTGAACGAGAGGCACTAAATAATCAAATTAGTTCAAGTGTTACCTTGGGTCAAGTTTTACTGATTGTGGCCTGCATTAGAAGGTGCTGATGTGATCGGGAAGCGTGCTTCCCTAGAGGCAGGGGAAGACAGGCCTAGCCAGAGGCACTGGGGCCTGGGCATCCCTGCCCTGGCTCTGCTCTGACTCGGGTGTTTTTGCCCTGCTGTCCCTGCCCTGGCTCTGCTCTGACTCGGGTGTTTTTGCCCTGCTGTCCCTGCCCTGGCTCTGCTCTGACTTAGGTCTTTTTACCCTTTATTCCCTGTAGTGGTATTCAGTCATAAATACCTGAAATATCACAGTTCTTCTCAGCTGTGTGCTCACAGGTTGTTCGTAACGTCAGTACTTTGAGAAGCTTTTAGTTGGAGTTCAGCATGTCCAACAGCCTTTGTTTTTACCGTGCTTAACAAAGTTGTTTCTCTCTCTCTGGACTCTGCAGACCTGGTTGGACTTCACCAAGGAGATTCGCAAGCAGGTGCAAGGTGAACAAAGTCATCATTAAGAGTCCAGATGGCATTTTGCTTCCATATGCAGTCATTTGCGAAAACAGCAGATCATGCAGCTGTGCACGTGTATCCTGTCTCCTCGACGTTTTGCCCAAACTTGCTAAATCAATTCATGTCCCAGGTTCCAGCTACGACTTCACTTTCAATGTGAAGTTCTACCCACCAGATCCGGCCCAGCTGACAGAAGACATCACCAGGTAAACCGCTCGTCGTAACACCTACAGCTACCCCAAGCGTAACTTACAGCACCGTGCAAACGTCTCAGGCAGTCAAAGAAGATGTTTAAAGGCCTGTATACACTGATTTTTCCCAGACAAACCAATGTGAAATAATCGTCGGCAATGCCTTTGGCCGTGGCTCCAAAACGGTGATCCTACATCATACAGTGAGAAAAGTTTAAAGATGAACATTGTCTCAGTTTTCTGACTAGAGATTGGCTGGGACACATTTCTGACAATCTCAGAAATTTGGTATGACCATCTCTCGATGTGACTCCTGGAATGACCTACGTCTGCAAACCGACAAATGCTGAAGACGTTTTATTGCTCTATATTGACGTTTCATAGCTTATGATTTAGTAGATGTTATAATTGTACAGTTTACATTCATCAAACTTGATGTCGTACCCAAGTTTATTAGACCCTTGTCGCACAGTTTGGCTTGCAATAAACATATATGATTGCTGAAAACGCAGTCTGTAGGAGGCTTAAAGCTATTTATCTCGGTAGTAACTGTCTGTTTGCTCACAAATTTTAACACTGGAGTATAAGCTATTTAACAGTAACACAATAAAAATCTAACTAGGATTTCATCTGTTCTCCAAAATGTCACTGGTATCTTGCTGGACGGCTGGATGAACACAGCTTCAGTTCCCAAACCAAAGGGGCAGCCCAGCCTTTCCATGCATTCATCAAATTTCACCACCAGCTCAGCTAATTAATTAACCTAATTTGTCAAATAACTCAATGAAAATATTGATTGGCCAGACAAGGCATGAAAGTCAAAGAATTATTGATGAATTGGATGGTTGTCGCAAATACAGAGGTGGCTTTAGAAGAGGCTTCGAAATGGTTTAGCTGACATTTAAACCTCATTTTCTTTGACTTTTGCACGGTACTGTAGGTTAAGCCCCGAATCCTGCTCTGGGGCACTGGTTTGAAAACGCAGTGTATGAGCTTCAACATACTTCAACATACATTATGTATGTTGTGCTACCATGAGGTCACGGGTCATACAGTCGTGCATGCAGTTTTCTCAGAGCACCACACTTCAACTTACGGTGCCATCAGTCCCACTTACCAGCATACTGATGCATCTGACTTCTCCACCTCGTGTAACACCAGGTACCAGCTGTGCCTGCAGCTGCGGAAGGACGTCCTGAGTGGCAGTCTTCCATGCTCCTTTGCCACACTGGCACTTCTGGGCTCCTACGCCGTCCAGTCGGAGCTGGGAGAGTACGACCCGGACCTCCATGGCGCGGACTACGTCAGCCAGCTACGCCTGGCCCCCGGCCAGAGCAGGGACCTGGAGGAGAAGGTCGTGGAGCTGCACCGTAGCTACAGGTGAGGCCTTGGAGGACGGAGCTCTTCTGCGAGTACAAAGCTGCCCAGATGCAGACCTTGGTGGCACTGTCCTCCTTTGTAGGTCCATGAGTCCGGCCCAGGCGGATATGATGTTCCTGGAGAATGCCAAGAAGCTCTCCATGTATGGAGTGGACCTTCACCAAGCCAAGGTAGCTGCCTAGCATATTACCTTAGGTTAGGGTCTGGGATTTTAAGGCAATTTCAACCATACATCATATTAACTTTGCCCTGTTGCCAAGCAGATTAACTAAATGTTGTCACTATACAATCGCTTCTCTATTTTTGCAGTAGTTTTCTCGAAAAAATCTCAAAAAAACTATTTTAACCAAAACACTTTTGTCTTGAGCAGTGCCACATTCACCGAAATTACACTTCGCTTTGTGGCATTAGGTTAAACTGGGTTTCTTGAAGAATAAGAAACGCATTAGCGTCATTGGAATGTACAGCATGCCTCCTGGTGGTGGTATGATGCTATTGCAGGGCTGAGCTTTAAGTCATTTTCCAAGTCTAATGCCCTGGCATTAACTGGGGAGAGTTGGTTTCACCAGGATAGATGGTTTGTCATAGAGGTTTAACCTGTAGCTGCTCTCGTATGCATATATGAAAAATGTGAAGGTGTGTAACACATATGTGTGCAGGACCTGGAAGGGGTGGACATCATGTTAGGTGTGTGCTCCAGCGGCCTCATGGTCTACAAGGACAAGCTGCGCATCAACCGCTTCCCCTGGCCCAAGGTCTTGAAGATCTCCTACAAGCGCAGTAGTTTCTTCATCAAGGTCCGCGCATCAGAGGTAAACCACTTGCTCCTGAATCCACTTACAAAACCATCTCGAATTTAATCTGTTTACCTGACACTGTACATTTTCTTTGGTGAAATTCTTCTCTTTGCACCTCAGCAAGAACAGTATGAGAGCATGATTGGATTCAAGCTGCCCAACTACAGAGCCTCGAAGAAGCTCTGGAAGGTGTGTGTGGAGCACCACACTTTCTTCAGGTAGGAAGGCATTATCTCTCTTTTTCTGTCTCTATGTCTGTCTCTCTCTCTACTTCCCTCCCGTCTGTCTTTCTGTCTGTCTCTATCTCTCTCTCTGTCTCTCTCCCCCTGTCTGACTCTCTGTGTCTGTCTGTCTCTCCCGACTATTGTTGGTGTGTGTTACTCTGTGTTCATGTGTCTTTTTAATCTACCAGCATCGTTAATCTACCAACCTTGTGTTTTGTCCCCATAATGCAGGATGGCTAGTTTTTAGTTCAGCGATAACTGATGTCTAGTTTCCACAAAGGAACATCACTGATATCTGTACATCATGACATTGGGTGGGACGTCCATCACACCATTTCTGTCCTGCAGGTTGACCTCAGTGGAAGCCACCACACCCAGGAAGTTCCTGGCACTGGGATCGAAGTTCCGCTACAGTGGCCGCACCCAGGCTCAGACGCGTCAGGCCAGCTCCATGATCAACAGGCCTGCCCCCCAATTCCAGCGATCAGCTAGCAAGAGGGTGTCGCGGAGCCTAGATGGAGGTGTGTGTGTGTGTGTGTGTGTGTGTGTGTGTGTGTTGTTAACCCCTAAGTTCCCTTCTTAACTTCACCCTGCCTTTTCAGAGGATATTGAGTCTGAGCAGGAAGCATCACTGCAGCTTGCACAACATGAGCCAGAAGGTAACTGGTATCTTGTGTCCTCCAGTAATCTTGAACTACAGCTCAACATTCTTCTCTGTGGTTCTATCAAGTGACATTTCAGACGGCTTGTTTGCGCTCTGAAGTTGACCCCCACCCCCCGCTTTCATTAATTCACTTTTCCTTATTGGCCACTCATCTACTGGTATACTAACTTACAAGGAAGTTCTAACTAAGCGCACCTGCTTCTGCTGTCATGAAGACACCCGACAGGAGATTCTCTCTTCTACACCCTCTCACATCTGGTGTATCCAGCTGCTTGGTCCATGCTCTGCTCAGAGTAAAACCATAGTTCATGGGCATCTACTAGGAAACAACCCTTCAGTGGCCTGCTGCCTACTTGTGGACCATCGCTGATGCCTCCACACCAATCTTCACTTAGCATGACTCTGCTGCTTCCCATGCTAATGTTAGCTTCCTCAGTGTCCCAGCTTTTTAGAAACTCTTCAGTTAATTCCTTTTGTATTTGTTGGCTTTTTTTGTATTTTTAAACCCTTCTTGAGCACCACATTGTCCATGCCCATGTGATTATCTGTTTAGGACCTCCAGTGGAGCACAGTTGTCTGGAGACCTCCTTAAATGCCAAGGAAAGCCATTAATTTGTGACGCCATTGCAGAAAAAAAATTCAGAGTTCAGAGGAGATGCTATTTTGCCTCGTCCTTTTAAAGATGGCCTTCTCTGGACAGTAACCTATATACCTAACCCCTTAATGAGCTCTGACTTACTGCAGGCTCCTGTGCTTTTGGTCACTGTAAACATTGTGCTGGGCTAATCAGCCTGGCCAGCTGTAGAGAGAGGATGATCGTCTCTCTGCTATACTTCATCGCCTTTAGTCACTAACATCTCTAACCGACTGGCAGTAAAATGCACTAAACAGCACCCATGAATAACCGGCCTGCTTGTACAACTCTGATGGATCCTATCTATCAGGCCCACCAGCAACTCATAAGAATAGCTTTTCTGCTTGTTTGGTTGACCTACACATGGTTGCCATGGCAAAGCTAATGCAAATTAGCTCCATCCTCCAACTGCCATTGTAGTGTGCAAATCAGCTATGATGTTGTATTGTTTCTATAGGAGACCATGTCTCAAAGGCTTTTTCATGTGTCCCATGATGTGTTTGCTCGCACAGCCCCTCCATCCGAGCCCATTCCGCTTGCCCCACCCACACAGAACCCCACCCAGCTGGTCACTGAGTCCAGCTCACATCAGCCACACCCCTGGACAGATGAATGGTTTGTGCTGTTGAGCCAAGGTGCAGCACTACGACCCTCAGACTTCTCAGGTACTCAGGTCCTACTAGCTGCTTTCAGCTAGTCACCCACCCCTGGAAGCCACTTCAAGTGATGGTGCTTGGACCAGGAGTTTGCTTTAAGGTCATAATCCACAGTCTCACAAAGTCTTTCCCTCATAAGCGTTCACATGGTGAACCCTCCTGGTTTTATGTCATCATCATAAGAGGAAAACTTAATGTTTCATGTGTCTCCTGAGGAATGTAAGACTCTCCATATGCAAAGCTGTTCTGGTCATCACTTGGTGATGGGATGGAGGTCATGTGACCTGCAGCCCCACCCTGGGAGACTCCAGCAGACCTTCAGGGCTGCCTTGATGTGTTCCTATATCTTTTCTAGTGATGTGGCAGGATGACTGGTTTGCAATGCTGGACCCTCCCCGTCCTGAGCCAATACTGCCCCCACTTACTAAAGGTAGCGTTTGGTACTGCTGCTGCTTTTCGCTGATCACTGAGTGTAGCTGACACCAGCTGTACCCATGGGCAGTTGCATGGTTTGTGCACTTAACACGCGTGATCGTCTTCAGCCGCCAATGCTCACCAGCGCTGTCCTGCATCCGTTCTACTGCCACTGTAATGTTCTAGCACTGTGTTCCACTTCACAGCCTGAGGTAAGTCTCAAATGTGGCCATGTTCGGAAATGTGCCGGAACCCACTCTGTCCCACAAGCTTTGCCAGCTACTCTTTACATCCAAGCTTACTTAAAGATGGATAATGCTGCAGTCAGATATAGATGATAAACTAGTGGCTCCACCCGTTGGTGTCAAATCAGCAGTGCTCAAAGTGGATACATGCTTGGCTCATTAAAATTTTTTTGCTTTTACATCCCTGCGTTCTGCTTCTTGCACATTCCATGTATGATGAAGCGTAGATTCTCCCCGCTTCTCCAGCACTGTAGCTTTTACGGTCTTTCCAACATCTCCAGCTGAACGTGACTCCAGTTCTCTGATGTCTGGGAAGGACACCTTGCAGCAATCCCTGAAGGAGAGCGAGGCAGACGGCTCGCAGTGTGAGTTTGCAGAGAGAGACTCACAAAACTGTTGAGGAAACTCAAGGAAAATCTATAAAATCTGCCATGATTTGAATTTTGGAGGGGAGAGATTTTTTGTTTTGCAAAACTTTGTGTGAAATGAGCTTCTGGCCCTCATGGATAGTGGAGAAGGGGCGTCGCCTCTGTCCTGGAAGCCTAATTAATGTCAGCTTGGGTTTGCGATGTAACCCAACCATGAGTCGAACGGGACATAAGCAGTCTTTCGTTGATGGCTTGGTTTCTCCTGTCACAGTCGCCCTCCAGGCAGAGGTGCAGGTTGAGGAATCGGAACTGAAACAGCAGGTAAAGGTACTGATCAACAGGATGAAAATCCTGGACAAAGAAGAAGCTGATGGGTTTGTGGTGGTACACCACACCCCCGCAGAACCCATAACTACACCTTCAGGTATGGTCTCCTAATCCTGCCCAAACTTTGTAATCTCCTGCTTTGCGAACAACTAATAGCCACCGTGTCCTTTGCCAGCTTCCAGTGTGAAGCGACTCCCATAACCGTAGAGCCCAGCGATACATTTTTACAAGCTAATTGATTACATCCGCAAGGGGAACATAGTCTATGTGCTACGTCCACAGTGTGAGCTCAAGCAAGGTGTAAATCAGTCTTGGGTTTCTAAGAAGATGGTTAATTCTGCTTGTCAGTTAAGCTGATGGGAAGCACTCCAGAGTATTCAGCTGTAAGTTCTTGGCTGGTCGTGGAAACAACAGAGCAGAAGATTCGTAAGGAGGTAAACATTGTAGAGGAGACGACAAAGCTGGAAGAGGAAGGAAGGCCGACTTATCTGTCAGTGCAAGGTACATGTTCCCTCACAGCAGTGTCAGCTTTGTCCGCTCTTAATAAACTAAACTCTAACCTACAAATAATCCAGGCAGGCTCTGCACTTTGTGGAAGCTTCTCGCAGACCTTCTGTTTGCTTTCATCAACGTGAATTCTGGATGACTGTTCTGGATTTGGTTTTGCCACCATATTCCTTAGGGATTTTTTTTTTTGGCAGTGTCACCATTCCAAAGAAGTTATTAATATCCTCATATAGACACGTTATGATTTTATCAGACGCTGTAGACGTGAAGAGCCAGAAGAGTGGAATGGTCGTGTCAGGGAAATTAATTTTTCAGTAGCCTGTCAGATTACCTTCACGTGGGCCAGCCTCATGACAAAGGAGAAATGCCCTTTCTGTTTTTAAGGCTGGGAAACCTATCTCCTGTTTCCAGAGACTAATGAGCCTGAACTGTTAGTTCTTTGGTAGCCAATGAGCATGAACTGCAGTGTTTCCCCTAGGTTTACAGCTTTGGCGGGGTGCAGATGGACAGGCGCAGATATTTTTGTCTGCTTTTCAGGTGGTTGACGCGACATATTTTCCAACGCGTGTTCTCTGTCCGCTGGTGTGAGTGTGCTCACCTGTGTGTGTGTGAGCGTGTCTGTGCGCGCGCATCGGGGCGGAACTCCGCCATGCTACAGAGCGCAGAGGAGAATTGTAAACGTACGACCATGTAGAGACAAAAATGACAAGCTGTTGTGTAAATAAGATAAATAACATTAGGCTGTTTAGTTTGTTCAATAAAAGGCCATGTATAGACCTGTTCTATAGGAAAGGTAACCTTAAATGATGTGTTCTGGCGCTATATAGAAAATAAAATTAAAATATAAAATTAACTTGACCTTCAAGGAGGGGCGGGAGGTGCTGTTGGGGGGGTGGGACACCCCCATAATATAATGGTAGGGGAAACACTGAACTGGCAGCTCTTTGGTAGCCAATGAGCATGAACTGGCAGCTCTTTGGTAGCCAATGAGCATAAACATTATTATAAGCAGCTGGAATTTCAAGTCAACATGAAGTAAAAACCAAGGATGGCTTCACGTTACACTCTGTGTGTTGTGCTAAGTGAGCTTGGTCACACAGTGGCTATCGATGCAAACAAGATGGACAAGTCGGGTTATGCACGATATGAATGTCTGCGAAATAATAGGATAGCTGTCAAAGGTAAATTTGCTTTCACAGTGGTAGTTGAAGAGCTACAGCAGGATTACTCTTTGCAAAGCTTGGCTTCCCACATCCCACTAAAACATAACCACAGCGTCCTTCGCCTTCTCACGCTGACTCACCACCTGCAAGTGAAGTGCACTAAATAGTGTCCATAACTAAACCAGTCGACTTGTGCAAATCCGGATGGATCTGATGGATCAGAACTACCAGCAACTCACGAGAAGAGCTTTTCTGCTTGTTTTGTTGACATACAGATGGTTGCCATGGCAAAGCTAATGGTTTACAAGGCTGGACTCTATAAGTTGGCTCCATCCTTCAGCTACTATTGAAGCTGTTGAACTTGTTGTATTGTTTCTATAGGAGACCATGTCTCAAAGGCTGATGTGTCCCATGATGTCTTTGCTCGCACAGCCCCTCCATCCGAGCCCATTCCGCTTGCCCCACCCACACAGAACCCCACCCAGCTGGTCACTGAGTCCAGCTCACATCAGCCACACCCCTGGACAGATGAATGGTTTGTGCTGTTGAGCCAAGGTGCAGCACTACGACCCTCAGACTTCTCAGGTACTCAGGTCCTACCAGCTGCTTTCAGCTAGTCACCCACCCCTGGAAGCCACTTCAAGTGATGCAGCTAAGAATCAGAATCTGGTTTTTCTCAAGTACCTGGAGTTTGCTTTAAGTCATTCCTTCCATTCACCTTTTAGAGAAGAACTGCTGAATTTATTGTGACTTTCTTGAGGAAAGTAAGGCTCACTGGGAGATGCTGCCTGCAGCAGACCTTCAGGGCTGCCCTGATGTGTTCCTGCGTGTTTTCTAGCGATGTGGCAGGATGACTGGTTTGCTCTGCTGGACCCTCCCCGTCCTGAGCCAATACTGCCCCCACTTCCAAAAGGTAGAGTGTGGAACTGCGGCTGCTTTTCACTCAGAAGTAGTCAGTCTTCTGACCGTTATTTTCCCAGATGTTATTTGCTTTTTCTTGAGAGTATTTCAGTATATTGTACAAAGGCTCGGCAAATGATTATGGACGGCTGGACCTGGTGTACGTGCATGTTTTAGCCAACTGCATTCACGCTTCCGCAGCGTTTCTGTTATGCTGAGAGGCTTGTTGACCTCGGCTTGAGTCAGAGCTGTTTGTTTGTTTGCATCAGTCACGCCAACCCAGCATGTTCCGGAATATCCAAAGGCGAGTCCTTCTACGAGTGTAGAGGAACGCACAAAAGAGCTGGCTCTGGAGAGAGTACCGAAAGTGGAGGAGGTAACAGAGCTACAGCACGTGGAGACAGTGGATGTTGATCTCCAGCGGCTTGAAAGGTTTATGGAAGGGCTTGAGTCAGCACGGAGAGGACAGAGAGACGATTGGTTTATCCTCATGGATAGCGCTCCCTCAGAATTTACGCTCAGAACGGAAGGTATTTATTACAAGCGAACTGGTACACGTGGCTTCTCTCCTTGACCGCTTATACCATTGTCACGCATTTTCACAGAAAACGCAACAGAAGTTTGAAAAGAAGCATTGGAAGTATTCAAAGATTATATATGACCATGTCTCAAATGCTGATGTGTCCCATGATGTGTCCCATGATGTGTTTGCTCGCACAGCCCCTCCATCCGAGCCCATTCCGCTTGCCCCACCCACACAGAACCCCACCCAGCTGGTCACTGAGTCCAGCTCACATCAGCCACACCCCTGGACAGATGAATGGTTTGTGCTGTTGAGCCAAGGTGCAGCACTACGACCCTCAGACTTCTCAGGTACTCAGGTCCTAACAGCTGCTTTCAGCTAGTCACCCACCCCTGGAAGCCACTTCAAGTGATGGTGCTAAGAATCGCAACCTGGTTTTTGTGAAGTACCAGGAGTTTGCTTTAAGCTCATAAACCGCAGTCCCTCAAGTGGCGGGTTTTTCCCCTCAGAATCCTCCATGCGATGGTCCTAACTTAACTTTTGAACCATCCTACGTTTGCTACGTTATCATCATTCCTTCCTGTCACCTTTTAGAGAAGAACTGTTCAATGTATCGTGTTTCATGAGGAAAGTAAGACTCACAGTACAGAAAGCTGTTCTGATCAGCACTTGGTGATGGGATGGAGGTCATGTGACCTGCAGCCCCACGCTGGGAGACTCTGCCTGCAACAGACCTTCAGGGCTGCCTTATTGTGTTCCTATATGTTTTCTAGTGAGTTGGCAGGATGACTGGTTTGCTCTGCTGGACCGTGCCCATCTTGAACCAATACTGCCCCCACTTCCAAAAGGTAGCGTGTGGTACTGCCAGTCTTTCACTCTGATGTGGTCTGTTTTCTGGCAGTGTATTCCCGAACAACCATGAAAAGTTCTTGAGCATATTGTTTAAAAGCTGTGCCAATGATTGTTGACGGCAGGACCTGGTGTGTGTGCAAACTGTTAGGAAATCACGATCAAGCTTCAACTGTGTTGCTGTTATACTGAGGTTTGGTAGACCGTCCTGGCCTCCCTGACTGTCCTTAAACCTTGGTTGTGGCTTGTTCACAGCCGCAGTCGCGACCCCAGAGACTGGCCGTCCAATCAGTGCCCCCGTGATCCCACCCGCAACTCCAGGAGCGCCTACCTCCACCATATCTGCCGCTGCAGCCATCAGCGTGCCGGTCAAACCGGAACCGAGGAAGGTGGAGGTGAAGCCGCAGCCACCGGCGGTGGAACCCGTGCCAGAAGTTAAGGTACTGCTAAGAGCTCCGAGTACTGTCGAGAACATGACCCATGAAACACCTGCTGATTCGGTTCTGTGCCATGGTCACAGGCACAGGTGGGGTGAGAATGCGGGACCGGTCAGCACATGTGCTCCAGCAGCAGGATGAGCTATAAGCAGCCGTTAGCTGAGCCGATATCGGTCCTGCATGGATGGACTTGCCCACATTGCTAGGCAGTGGAGTAAAGGGGGGCAGTCTTTTCAAAGTCGTAGTCATCAGTCTATATGCAGTCTTAGTCAAAGAAAATTGTCTGAATGATCTTCAAAACTGTCAGCTTAGCCATTTCACATCTCTCCTGTAGTCAGTCCAGTATTTGCAGCAATCATCAAATCACCCTTGTATTTTTTGATTCGACCACTACCCTACCTCGTTTGCCCAATCAATACTTCATTGGTTTATGTAACTAATTAAATTAATTGATTAACCGAGCTGGTGGTGAAATTTTACAAATACTTGGAAATGCTTGGGTGGCCCTGAGGAGAGGTTTGGGAACCAAAGAGGTGTTTATCTTCCAGTCCAACACGATGTCAGTCCAACACAGTATCGGTAACTTTTTGGAGAACAACAGAAATCTCTGTTGGTTTTTATCGTGTTACTGGTAATTTTGGATATAAGCTGGTGTTAAATTGTTTATTTTTTGTGAGAAAATATGCACTGACTGCCTACATATCGCTTTACGCACTTTCTTTGACTGCCTACATATAGCTTTACGCACTTTCTTTGACTGCCTACATATAGCTTTACGCACTTTCTTTGACTGCCTAC